GAGCCAAACCGAATGCTCCTTTCCTTAAATAAATTACAAGTGCGTTGTGGAGGCACAGCTGTGACCCAGCTACTCAGGAGGCCAGAGGAGGAGCCCAGATTGAGCCCAGAAGCACGCATTAAAAGAGGTAAATTATAGAGTAGGGCATTAAATCTCAAGAAAGTGGCTTTAAAACCATGTTTGAAACATGGAAAACTGTTGAAATTGCAGGTCAAAGTCAAGTGGACCCAGCGATTACAGAAAGTGCACAGCAGACTTAGCCTTCAGAATACCCAGGAGCAGAGACTCAGGCAGGCTGCAGCTGGCTTCAACACTGTGTTCTAAAAGAGCCAGTGAGGTGAGAAGCCTGCGGCTCGCAGCGAGCATAATAAACCGCGAGCCAGGGGCTTCTCTCCCTCAGAGCCTCCCTTTGCCTGGCCCCAGAGGAGACAGAATTCCAGCAAGGCCAGCAGGCTGTCTCGTTCACACCGCTGCTCACCGCTGCTCTCTCGCAGCTGTTGTTAACTGAAAATTAACTAACAGGGCACCTGAGAACAGAAGCCTAGAAGAGTTCATGGAATGTCACAGTTCTGGTGGTTCAAGCCATGCCCAGAATCCGGGACACTCTTCAACAGTGGGAATGACGATAGTTTCAATTTCTGCGTGCTTAGTATATGTTAAGTGTGCTCTAGTAGTTTCTAAAGTTTTAAGCAAATGAAACAACTCAATAGCAAGCAGTTACATCATTCTAACCCCCCAGAGAGCAGCTCCTGCACCCTTATCACCATTAACTAATCTCATCGAGTATGTCTATTCCACTATGTAGACACATCATTCTTCTCTTAGACTTAAGACAGTCGGGCTCCTGGAACGTAACATTTCCTAAACTATGAAAATAGTTGTGGTGATATTTTGTTTGTGATCTAACAAATAAAGCTTGCCTGAAGATCAGAGTGCAGAGCTAAGCCACTAGTTGGCCGTTAAGGCCAGGCAGTGGTGGCACACACCTGAATCCCAGCACTCAGGAAACTGAGGCTGATGGATCGCTGTGAGTTCAAGGCCACCTTAGGCTACACGAGATTGAATCTGTCTAAAAGAGAAACAGAGCTCACACAAAGGGGATCCCAGCATCTGGGAACACAGACCTTTTTAATCCCAGTACTCGGGAGGGTAGAGACAGACATGATATGGCTGGGCATCTAGAGGAATGTAAGCCGGGAGGAGACAGGAGTTAAGATGCAGTCAGAGGATTCGTAGAGATAGAATTGCCCCTTTGGTCTGAGCATTGGTAGAGGTAAGAACTCTCTAGTTGCTGGTTGCTCTGCTTCTCTGATCTTTCAGCATTAACCCCTATATTTGACTCAGGGTTTTTATTATTAAGAACAATTAGAACTCATGCTACAAAGAGTTACTGGGATTAATCCTCACATGAGTCTCATTGCTAAGCTACATGGATCTCAATATCTACCTGTCAGGAGAGACTGCCATTTGGGGTATTAACAGGGAAAGGCGGCTGCTATAGGGGACCCAAAGGGCAGCCCTGCACCTCTCTAGAGCTACTGTGGGCCAGCTGCTGCTGGCTCCAGAAGAGCTGAGTTGACCACGCCAGAAGGATCCTGGTTCTGCAAGGACTTTGTTCTTTTTCTGATTCCACAGCTGTGGACAACTTCGTGTTGCTTTTATACCTAGTTTCCTTCAGGACTGTTCTCTGCACTGGTCCTTTGCTTTTTTTCTATTCTCCCTCTCCACCCATCCTCTTTTCCACGCCATCATGCATACTCAACTCACAGTCTATTAAAAAAATCAGCCACAAGCACACTCTAGTTCTGGCTCTCCTCCTCATGGTGGCCCCATTTCTGTGCTAATTATGTGCAGCCTCTTCCTAAGACCGTGGCTGCCTCCCTGTTCATAAATCAGCTCTTTACTTTGTCCTTCTTTGTTTCCTTTTTTTTTTTTTTTTTTGGTTTTTTGAGATGGGGTTTCTCTGTGTGTCTTCCTGGCACTCACTCTGTAGCCCAGGTTGGCCTTGAACTCTCAGAGATCCAGCTGCCCCTGCCTCTCGAATGCTGGGATTAAAGGTGTGTGCCTCCACTGCCCGACAATCATTATTTTTTCATTTCTTTTGGAACTCCATTGAAGTTGGTCATTCTTTATTTTATTTACACACTTTTTACTCTTTTGGTCTTTGCCACCCAGATCCCAAATAAATCATACAGGGGCTTATTACTTATGAATGCCCAGCCTTATCTTGGATTTTCTTCTAGCACCTTTCCTTACTTACATTACCCATTTACCTTTTGTCTCTGGGCTTTTTTCTTTCTCTATGTCTGTTTAGTTTCCTTTCCTTTTTACTCCGTGGCTTGCTGTGTAGCTGGGTGGCCCCCAAAGTCCTCCTCTCTTCCTTTTCTTGATCCCCAAATCTTTCTTCCCAAATTTCTCCTCCTATTTATTCTCTCTGCCTACCAGCCAGCCCTGCCTATCCTTTCGTCTGCCTAGCTATTGGCTGCTCAGCTCCTTATTAGACCAAGCAGGTGTTGTAGACAGGCAAAGTAACAGAGCTTCACAGAGTTAAACAAATGCAACATAAAAGAATGCAACACATCTTTGCCTCATTAGATAATGTACCCCAACATAAACAAATGTTACACATATTCAGCTAATATTCCACAACATTTCGTTGCTGTTTTTCTCCACAGCTGACTCTAAATATTCTCAATGATTTTCATGATGTGGGATTGTAATAGCCTTTGTGTGGAGGACAATGGGCATGAAAGGGACTACACGGCATTCACCATGGAAACCGTGTTGCAAGTCATCATTCCACACACATCCCTGTTTATTTTCTCACCTAAACCTCATATTCACCTTGATGTGTTTAAAGATTATGTCGTGTTCTACCTGCATGTCTGCCTGCCACCAGAAGGGGGCACCAGATCTCATGACGGATGGTTGTGAGCCACCATGTGCATGCTGGGAACTGAACTCAGGACCTCTGAAAGAGCAGCTAGCACACTTAACTTTTGAGCTATCTCTGCAGCCCACGATATTGTTTTTGTCATCAAAATTATCACTGTAAATTAAAATTTAGGAACCAGGTTAAGGATAGTCAATTAAAATAGATTATCTAACTGAAACTTAGTTATAAAAACTAAAACAAAAAAATTAATTATATAAAGAAGTAATGGTGAGATAGAAAAAAAGAGGAGGGTGTACAACCAAGGGCCAGGGGGCTCCTCATTTCGGATAACATGGTTAGGACAGCCCCAATTCACCTCCAAGGGCATGGCTCCATGGAGAATGTGGTACTATGGGTTAGGGAAAGGAAAGGAGTAGGCACTGAACGGGAGTCCACTTGGCACTGCTGGCCCTTGAGCTCCCTGCCGAGCGGGGAGACAGAGAGGTGTGCATTCATGGTGGGTGACACTCAGTGAGAAAGTGGATCTGTTGGGCCTAAAGTAGAACATCTGAGTGAGTATGAGTGGAGAGGTGGGCAGAGCTGAGCCTTCGCTGGGGGCTGAAAACCAGAGGAGGAAAATAGAACTCTGTGTGTGTGTGTGTGTGTGTGTGTGTGTGTGTGTGTGTGTGTGTGTGTGTGAGCACGCTTGAGAACAGGGGACTTAGAAAAGAGTGGCAAAGCCCACATCACGTGCAAAGCTTGTGTTGATTACAGGTGTCAGGTGAAGAATCAGGTTTAGAACGGGCAGGGTGTTTCACCCCTGCAATCCCAGCACTTGGAAGAAGCAGGAAGTAGTAGAGTTTTAAGCCAGGCTGGGCAGATCACACAGCTCCCTTCCATGCTCTCTCTTCCTCCTCTTACTGCCTCAGATCTGGGCCACTTTGTGCCTGCAGCCAGTCTTACATAGTGCTGACTGGAGAACTGGCGGCTGGCTGCCTGCCTGCCCCTCGCTAAGAGGCTTCCTCTGTGACACAGGCAGTGAGCTTTACAACTGGAAAGCAGAATCAGTACCCTGGGCTCCTGGGGCATCTGTGCTCACCCTGGGTGCTCGAGGCCTTCCTCATCAGGACGCAGCGCTGCCTTCCTGTTGCGTGCCCACCTAGTTAAGGCAATTCTCAAGGTGCTGAGCAGAGGTCCTTAGGAGCCAGGCCTGAGTCCTGGTCTCTGACAGGAAGGCAGCCAAGAACACACTTCGGCTTCTTTGTCTTGAGAAGTCTGCAGTGGCGCAGACCTGTGCTGGTAAAGAGGGAAGGCAGACTTCCTGCAGTTCCTTCATATAGGCACCACCTGCTTGAGAAAGGAGAAACTGAGGCCTGGAGAAGGAAAAGCCGTTTGCTCAGCATCAGCCAAACTGGAGACACTGGTCTTCTGTGTTCCCGAGACCACGTGGACCTTCTCACAGAAGCTTCAATTTGACCCAGAAGAGGGACCAATCGTTCTGGAAGATCTAGGCCATCATTGTCTGTGTGGTTCATTTGTGCATCTAAGCATAGCTGCTGGTTGACTAGGACGAAGCCACTGCATGTGGGTCTATGTGGGCCGGTACCAGAATCTTCTGCATGGTTATGATCCTGGGAAGCCCTTGGCTGAAAAAGAGCCTTCACCAAGAAAAGTCTGGGTTCTTGCATCAAAGAACCTACCAGACCAGTGCTCACTCAACACTCAGTCCACACCAGGAACAAGGGTTGGACAGACGGTGACCGGAGTACAATACAGCCATGCGATGGTGGGTGATTCTGGTTCCCTCCAACAGCAAAGCGACACCAGGGGAGGAGAGCTAATGATTCAGTGGAAATGAAGCCTCAGGCACTGAGCCCCCACAGCCCCAGGACCCACACCTGAGGCCCAGGGTCCCCTTCCCCAGCAGCCCAAGACAGGGTCCATTCCAGAGCCGCTCGAGCAGCACTGGAAAAGACCTTATCCTGATGTTCTTAGAACTTCAGACCGGACAGACAGACACGTTTGCCATTTCTTAGGGAAAACTGCTATGTTTTCCCCAGAGAATTTACTTGGGAAAGGCCGGTATCTAGAATGTTGTTAGAAAGTACAGCACACAGGGAAGGAATGCCTCAATACAGAAATTTTATTAAGTAAATAAACCCTTCAGTTTCAGTGGTGGGGAAGAGATAAATGGCCGGCTGCCAGCCAGACCCATACACTCAGTATTCTTCCCCTTCCTCTGCCTCTGCTTCCACGGAATCCACGCCCACCTCTTCATAATCCTTCTCCAGCGCTGCCAGGTCCTCCCGGGCCTCTGAGAACTCCCCTTCCTCCATGCCTTCTCCCACGTACCAGTGCACGAAGGCCCGCTTGGCATACATGAGGTCAAACTTGTGGTCCAGGCGGGCCCAGGCCTCTGCGATGGCAGTGGTGTTGCTCAGCATGCACACGGCCCTCTGCACCTTGGCCAGGTCTCCCCCAGGCACCACGGTGGGGGGCTGGTAGTTGATACCCACCTGCCAGAGGAGAACACACAGTCGAGTTTATAATAGCCTCAGAAATACGACAGTTCACTAGCTCGGGAGCTGTGGGCCCAGGTCAAGCTGCAGATACTCACGCCGTACTTCGGGGAATAATATCCTACACGTGTAAACACTTATAAAGATCTTAAAGTCCTTACTTAAACACTAATGGACAAACAGGAACAACAAGGGCAAAGAACGAGAACGCTACCCACAGTATACTGTGTGCTTAGTTAAAACAAATCTGGCTGGGAATCCTTGTATTTGCTATAGGAAACCCCTGTGTAGCAGTGACCTCTAGCAAGGAGAACTCTTGGAGCTGAAGGAGGATAAATTTAGGAACACAGATTCTTTGCTGCTCTCTGCTGGCCTGTCACCCAACATCACTCGTGTTAGAGGCAGAATATATCTGGAATATGCAGAGACTGCCTCTTGTTTTATAGGAACAAAAAGGTTTTGGGGCAGAGAACTCAGCTTTCAGTATTAATATTTTAATACTATTTAAATTATAGTATTTAGATATTATTAAATAATATTATTTAAAGGTAAGTTAATATTTCAGCCTTCCTTTAAAATATTTGATATATTTTTTATAATTTAAAGGCTCTAAAAATTATTATAAAATAACACTGTGGACACAAACTCTGTGGCCAAGGCTGAACTTGAACTTACTCTGGTGCTGGGATCAGAGACCTGTGGCCCATGAATGTCCACCTGAAATACTGTTTCTAAACATGGAAACTAGAGTGGCCCAGCCATGGTTATAACCAAACCCATGCTGACACAAAGGGACCCATAGCACAGAGACTAAGCCGATGCAGCTGGAGTTGGCAGACTCTGTAGGGCCAGAGCCGCCCATAACTTAGGCCTCCGCTCAGGCCTGCTCTTAACTGCAGACCTACAGGGGCAGCAGGGGACACTTGGGCGAGGCACAGCTTTCCCTGCCCCTTTACACAGTGGCCCCTCCCTTGGAAGTCTTTGTCTTCTTAGTGTCTCACTGATGCTTGAGGATTGGTAATTGATGGTCTAAGGAGTAAGGACTGAGGCCAGGTGGTGGTGGCGCACACCTTTAACCCCAGCCCTCGGGAGGCAGATCTCTGTGAGTTTGAGAACAGCCTGGTCTACAGAGTGAATTTCAGGACAGCCAGGGCTACAAAGAGAAACCCTGTTTCAGAAAGCCAACCAAACAACCCAAATCAAAAACAAGCAAGCAAGCAAGCAAACAAACAAACAAGAAATAAAGTTTGGCCGGGCGGTGGTGGCGCACACCTTTAATCCCAGGACTCCGGAGGCAGAGGCAGGTGGATCTCTGTGAGTTCGAGGCCAGCCTGGTCTAGATGAGCTAGTTCCGGGTCAGGAACCAAAAAGCTACAGAGAAACCCTGTCTCGAAAATAAATTAAAAAAAAAAAAAAAAGAAAGAAATAAGGTTTGGTACTTGGTGGTTGTAAGAATAGATTTCCCACATCAAGGCCAGCTGGACTGGGTCTGAAAAAGCATGCAATAAAACCGGACTCCCTGAACATAGCAGACAATGAGGACTGCTGAGAAGTCAAGAACAGTGACACTGGGTTTTGATCCTACTGCACTACTGGCTTTGTGGGAGCCTAGACTGGATGCTCACCTTACTAGACCTGGAAGTAGGTGGGAGGTCCTTGGACTCCCCACAGGGCAGGGAACCCTGACTCCTCTTTGGGCTGAGGAGGGAGGGGGAGCTGATTGGGAGAGGGAGAGGAAAATTGGAGGTGGTGGTGGGGAGGAGACAGAAATCTTTAATAAATAAATAAATAATAATAAAAAAATTTTCAAGAAAGATTGGAAAAAAAATAGAGTTCCCAGTATCATTTGGATACGAGGACGCATTATGTCACTTAGCAATTTACCTCCTTACTGTGCATACTTTTTTGGAACCTGACATGGAAAGGGGGACTCTTCCCAAAGCTACGGCCCTGAGACAGGAGCTGTTGCTTGCTGGCAGATACGACTGTCCCAGCCCCTATCCTACCTTAAATCCAGTCGGACACCAATCCACAAACTGGATGGTGCGCTTGGTCTTGATGGTAGCAATAGCCGCATTGACATCTTTGGGAACCACATCCCCCCTGTACAACATGCAGCAGGCCATGTATTTGCCGTGGCGAGGGTCACACTTGACCATCTGATTGGCTGGCTCGAAGCAAGCATTGGTGATCTCTGCCACGGACAGCTGCTCATGGTACGCCTTCTCAGCTGAGATGACGGGGGCGTAGGTGGCCAGCGGGAAGTGGATGCGAGGGTACGGCACCAGGTTGGTCTGGAATTCCGTGAGATCCACATTCAGAGCCCCGTCAAACCTCAGGGAGGCTGTGATGGAGGACACAATCTGCCCGATAAGACGGTTCAGGTTGGTGTACGTGGGGCGTTCGATATCCAGGTTGCGCCGACAGATGTCATAGATGGCTTCGTTATCCACCATGAAGGCGCAGTCAGAATGCTCCAGTGTCGTGTGTGTGGTCAGGATGGAGTTGTAGGGCTCCACCACGGCTGTGGAAACCTGGGGGGCTGGGTAAATGGCGAATTCCAGTTTGGACTTCTTGCCATAGTCCACTGAAAGCCGTTCCATGAGCAGAGATGCGAACCCGGATCCTGTGCCCCCTCCAAAGCTGTGGAAGATGAGGAAGCCCTGCAGTCCTGTGCACAGATCTGCCTGTGGGAAGCCAGAGTATGTAAGCCAGTGCCTACAGAGCCACGCCCCAGCCTCCAAGCCCCACACTCACCACTTCCACTTCTGCAAACTGAGACAAATCAGACTGTCTATAACACACACTCTGCACTTTGACCTTAATGACCCATGGCTGTAAGGGATTTTGGTAAACTCACATAGATTCCTGAGTCTAAGAATTGTCAAAAATGACTGGGCTTGAAATTTTATGTCAACTTGACACGAGATAAAGTCTTTCATCTGGGAGAAGGAATCTCAATTAAGAAAAGACCTTCTCAGGTGGTGGTTGCACACACCTTTTTTTCCCAGCACTTGGAAGCCAAGGCAGGCAGATCTCTATGAGTTTGAGGACACCCTGTTCTACAAGAGCTTGTTCCAGGGCAGCTAGGACAGTTACACAGAGAAACCCTGTCTTGAAAAACCAAATAAATAAATAAATAAACAAACAAACAAACAAATAAATAACCTTCATAAGATAAGGTTGCAGGCAAGCCTTCAGGGAGTTTTCTTAATTACTGATTGATTGGGCCCAGACTATCATGGGTAAGGCCATCCCTGGGCTGGTGGTTCTGGGATTTGTAAGAAAGAAAACTGAGCAAGCCAGTAAGTAGCACCCTCCATGGCCTCTGCCTCCAGGTTCCTGTCCTGATGTCCTCTGATGAACAGTGATGTGGCAATGTAAACCACACCGACCCTTTCTTTCCCAAGATGCATTGCTCGTGGTGTTTTAGCACAGCAACAGTAACCCTAACTAAGACGATGACACCACCACCGCCAGTGCCGAGTCTCTGGACCAGGACAACCACCACAAGAAGCCTCCTCTGCAATCCTCTTACCAGCTTTCTGATCCGGTCCAGGACCAGGTCAACAATCTCCTTGCCAATGGTATAATGACCTCTGGCATAATTATTGGCTGCATCTTCCTTCCCAGTGATCAGCTGCTCTGGGTGGAAGAGTTGCCTGTAGGTTCCAGTGCGCACTTCATCTGGAGAGAGAGCATTCACACCATGAGTCTGTAGGGCAGGGACATTCAAGTCCACTGAGCGTGTAGGTCGAGAACATCTTCTAAGGATTGTCCGTGCACACACAAACCACCCACACATGACCTTTTCAGTCTCAAGCACACATTTATACATCGGGTCTACTCTCAGAGATGTCAGCGGGTTTTCCTGAGACGCTCCCGCTCTCCCAGGAAAGCCTCCACCCTGACCCAGGCACCTACCGACCACAGTGGGCTCCAGGTCCACAAACACTGCTCTGGGCACATGCTTGCCAGCTCCGGTTTCACTGAAGAATGTGTTGAAGGAGTCGTCCCCGCCACCGATGGTTTTGTCGCTTGGCATCTGACCGTCAGGTTGAATGCCATGTTCAAGGCAGTACAGTTCCCAGCAGGCATTGCCGATCTGGACACCTGCCTGCCCCACGTGGATAGAGATACACTCACGCTGGAATTCAGAACAGAAACATGACATTCGTTCAACTGAAACTGCATGGAAACCAACATACCTTTGTGTCATGCCAAGTGTCTATTTGCGAACTTCATGCACAATCGCAAGAGAGGGTGGCAGATAGGTTTGCGGAGAGGACTTTTGTTTCCTTTCTGACACCAGTGAGGAAAGTCAAAGTGACTGAGCCCAAAGAGCCTTCATTCAGAATTTTAGGACAGTCTCATGGCTCCTGTTGGTGTCGTGTGGGTCCCGAGCTGTCTATGGGAAGAGGCCCTTGAACTCCTGGAAGACCCGCCCTCTGCCCCCTGTGTCGGGGTCACAGGAGTTTGTCACTAGCTTCACACAGTTTCCCAAAGAACTTTCATGGGCTTTGGGACTCCTGCCAAACCTGACGACCTGTGTTGAACTCTGGGACCCGTTTAGTGGAAGCAAAGAATCACCTCCAGCAAGTGGTCATCTGATCTCACTGGCCGCATGTACACATTTGTGCAAATAAATGTACTTAAAAAATAAAGCCAATAAAGTCCCTTATATGAGCCATCTTGCCAGCCCCATTTTTGCTTTTATTAAAAAACTTGTGGCTAAGCATAGTGGTGTATGCCTTTAATCCTAGTAGTTGGGAGGCAAAAGCAGGTGTGTATTTGTGAGCCTGAGTCAGCCAGAGTCATGAGTTGATGCCCTGTCTCGAAACAGAAAGGCTTCTTATAATGTCTCAAAGATAAACAGAAATCATCAAAAGAAAAATTATGGAGATCCTTCAAGGAAACAGATGATGGACTTTTGAGGCACAGAGTAAGATGTTACTTGCTACTTAATCTACAGGTAAACGCCTATGTTTTCAAAGGTTAATTTGAAAAGGCACATGTGAAACATTGTGCTGGTTAGCCTGGTTCACCTGACAAACTGGAGTCACCTGGGGAGAGGTGACTTGACTGTGTCTGCGGGCATTTTCTCCGTTTATGTTTGAATAGCCGCAGTGGGATAATCCTTCTGTAGACTGTGAATACATTTTACTCGCATTGGTTAATAAAAAAGCCAATTTGGCCGATAGCAAGGCAGAAGAAGGCTAGGCATAAAGCCAAACTGAAAAACAGAGAGAAGGGCAGAGTCAGAGAGATATGAGTCACCTCTCAGAGGGTCAAGCCATGCTAGATGCTTGGTGGCTAGCTTAGGAGAGCTGAGGACCCAACTCAGGGCCTTGTGCCTGCTGGGCAAACACTCTACCATGGAGCTGAATCCCCAGCCCCCGGAGGGCACTCCTCATGCCAGACCAGAGTGTGGTGACCAGACTCACAACTGCCTGTGAGTTCTGCTCTCTTGTGGCCTCTCTGGGGAACTGCACTCAGGAACACGCACCTCTCACAGACATACACACACAACCATGTCAGACAAAGGGAAAAAACTTAAAAGAGCTTCTTAATTTTGTTTTTTTGTTTTTTTCCTGAAGACAAGTTCCTGTAGTAGCCTTTGCTGGCCTCAAATTTACTTAGATTAGTCCTGAAATCCAATTTTCCTGCCTCAGCCCACCTGGGGCTTGGGACTGCAGCACCGCACAGCACGTATCTCAGATATACTTTCTTGTGTGAACAAACTATCCCACGTAAGCACATAATATAAAAAAAACAGTGCTAGTTACAAACCACATAAAAGTTCTTTTGGAACTGGGTGAACCTAGTGACAAACTCCCGTGATTCCCCACGTGGAGGGGGCAGAGGGCGGGCCTACCACGAGTTCAAGGGCATATCCCCATAGACAGCTCCAGGACAACACGAGACAAACACGGACTATAAGACTGTCTTAAAATTCCAAAGAAAGTCTCTTTGTAGTCCGACACTTTCACTTACCTCACCGGTATAGGAAACGGAACAAAATCCCTCCGCGCAAACCAATCCGCCACCCTCTCTAGTTGTATTTTCTAGAGACCAGAGTTCTATGAGGCTGGGGTTGGCCTCAAACTTCTGTCCTCTGCAGGGCTGGGACTCCAGACGGGAGCTCCATCCCACCATCCTGGATCTTCACTGCGAGCTAAGACAAGGGGCATCTCGCTCGCACTTGCCTGGTGAGGAGTCAGGAGGGAACTGCGGCCTCAGCGATGGCTATGCCCCCACTCACTCTCGCGGGAGCCTGGTCTCCGAGGGAACAGCAGGTCTCTCTCCCGTGGAGCCCACCCTCAGAGGTCCTGAGCCCCACCACCCCGGCCCGGGCCTGCTCTCACCATCCTGCACTCTGCAGACCAGCTCAGCCGTTCCTCAGCACTGGTCCTCAACTGCCTCTTGCCTGCACTCAACTGTCCAGGCCGGATACGGATATAAATGCAAATATCTAGGGGCTTATTGGCCCAGAGTGTTTCCGGGGCGGGCCTAGGCACCACAGTCCACTTATTATTGGATGGGGCTCAATTTGAAGTGCTGGCACTTTCTGATTGGACGTGGCTTTGGCGGGAAGGCTCTGGAGTGGCTGGAGGGGATGAGCATCTGGTGACTGGGGAAGTCTGCACCTCCCTGGACGTTCAGCTTAGCAGGACAAGTTAGATTGACATTCCATTCTCAGGTCACTATAGGCCGTGCTAAGTTGACAGTTAAAGCTAGCTAGGATGCATGGGAAGATGGCTGACTACTGACCCAGAACATAAAGTGCTTGCCTGCCATGAAATACGCACTGAGTTCGATCCCCAGCACTTACCTAAGTTCTGTCCTATCAACAGGGCCAAAGCAGCTTCTTTATTAACCAGTGGTATTCACATCATACAGAAGGGAATCCCACATCAGTGAGCACTCTGCCAAACCCAGCTACAACCTAGCACCCAATACTGTGTTTTTAAAAAAAAAACATTTTTTTTATTATAAAATTAACACACTCGGAATAGAAAAGTGGGGAAAGGCAGAAATGAAATGGAAAGTCAACAGCTGTAAAAGCCAGAGAGAATCTGTTCAGCTGTACCTTTCTTCAATGTATGCATACATTTATTACTTTTGGGGGACAGGTTTTCTCAGTGTAGCCCTGGCTGTCCTAGAACTAGCTCTGTAGACCAGGCTGGCCTCAAACTTACAGGGATCTGCCTGCCTCTGCGTCCCAAGTACTGAGATGAAAGGTGCGCGCCACCACAGCCCAGCTACATTTATGCATTTTGCAATTACAATCAAACACGAATTTTTTTGTATTCTATAATAAATATTTTAACAGTATCTTTTGCAGCAATTTTATATTTTATTTTTATTTTTTATGCGCATTGGTGATTTGCCTGCATATATGTCTGTGGAAGTTACAGTTGTAAGCTGCCATGAAGGTGCTGGGAATTGAACCTGGATCCTCAGGAAGAGCAGTCAGTGTTCATAACCACTGAGCCATCTCTCCAGCCCTCTTGCTGCAATTTGTTGTTGAGGATCTGATTTGGTCTCTATGCATTTGAAAACTGGTTGATTTCTATCCATATCATAATGAATAAACATATTCCTTCATGTATGCCAGTTTCAGCACACAGAATGCAAGCTCAGCTACCCATAACAGCTTGGAGAGAGCAGCGGTGTGAACGAGGCAGCTTGCTGGCCTTGCTGGAATTCTGTCTCCTCTGGGGCCAGGTAAAGGGAGGCTCTGAGGGAGAGAAGCCTCTAGCTCATGGTTTATTGTGCTCGCCACGAGCCGCAGGCTTCTTACCTCACTGGCTCTTTTAGAACACAGTGTTGAAGCCAGCTGCAGCCTGCCTGAGTCTCTGCTCCTGGGTATTCTGAAGGCTGAGTCTGCTGAGCACTTTCTGTAATCACTGGGTCAACTTGTCTTTGACCTGCAATTTCAACAGTTTTCCATGTTTCAAACATGGTTTTAAAGCCACGTTCTTGAGATTTAATATCCTACTCTATAATTTACCTCTTTTAGTGTGTGTGATTACATTAACTCAGGAACTTCTGGGCTCAATCTGTGCTCCTCCTTTGGTCTCCTGAGTAGCTGGGGCCACAGCTGTACCTCCATACCACACTTATAATTTATTTAAGGAAAGGAACATTCAGTTTGGCTCCCAGTATGTATGTATTATGTCTGTCTGTCTGTATATATGTTTTGTGAGTCAGGGTCCCATGTGTCCAGGCTAGCCTTGGAGTTGTTATGCAGCCCAGGTTAGCCTAAAACTTTTGATCCTCTTACCCCTCCCTCCCAGTTGCTAGTTACATAAAGCTGTATAGCCAAGCTCAGTTTCTGTGGTGCTGGGGATCGAACTCAGTGCGTATTTCATGGCAGGCAAGCACTTTATGTTCTGGGTCAGTAGTCAGCCATCTTCCCATGCATCCTAGCTAGCTTTAACTGTCAACTTAGCACGGCCTATAGTGACCTGAGAATGGAATGTCAATCTAACTTGTCCTGCTAAGCTGAACGTCCAGGGAGGTGCAGACTTCCCCAGTCACCAGATGCTCATCCCCTCCAGCCACTCCAGAGCCTTCCCGCCAAAGCCACGTCCAATCAGAAAGTGCCAGCACTTCAAATTGAGCCCCATCCAATAATAAGTGGACTGTGGTGCCTAGGCCCGCCCCGGAAACACTCTGGGCCAATAAGCCCCTAGATATTTGCATTTATATCCGTATCCGGCCTGGACAGTTGAGTGCAGGCAAGAGGCAGTTGAGGACCAGTGCTGAGGAACGGCTGAGCTGGTCTGCAGAGTGCAGGATGGTGAGAGCAGGCCCGGGCCGGGGTGGTGGGGCTCAGGACCTCTGAGGGTGGGCTCCACGGGAGAGAGACCTGCTGTTCCCTCGGAGACCAGGCTCCCGCGAGAGTGAGTGGGGGCATAGCCATCGCTGAGGCCGCAGTTCCCTCCTGACTCCTCACCAGGCAAGTGCGAGCGAGATGCCCCTTGTCTTAGCTCGCAGTGAAGATCCAGGATGGTGGGATGGAGCTCCCGTCTGGAGTCCCAGCCCTGCAGAGGACAGAAGTTTGAGGCCAACCCCAGCCTCATAGAACTCTGGTCTCTAGAAAATACAACTAGAGAGGGTGGCGGATTGGTTTGCGCGGAGGGATTTTGTTCCGTTTCCTATACCGGTGAGGTAAGTGAAAGTGTCGGACTACAAAGAGACTTTCTTTGGAATTTTAAGACAGTCTTATAGTCCGTGTTTGTCTCGTGTTGTCCTGGAGCTGTCTATGGGGATATGCCCTTGAACTCGTGGTAGGCCCGCCCTCTGCCCCCTCCACGTGGGGAATCACGGGAGTTTGTCACTAGGTTCACCCAGTTCCAAAAGAACTTTTATGTGGTTTGTAACTAGCACTGTTTTTTTTATATTATGTGCTTACGTGGGATAGTTTGTTCACACAAGAAAGTATATCTGAGATACGTGCTGTGCGGTGCTGCAGTCCCAAGCCCCAGGTGGGCTGAGGCAGGAAAATTGGATTTCAGGACTAATCTAAGTAAATTTGAGGCCAGCAAAGGCTACTACAGGAACTTGTCTTCAGGAAAAAAACAAAAAAACAAAATTAAGAAGCTCTTTTAAGTTTTTTCCCTTTGTCTGACATGGTTGTGTGTGTATGTCTGTGAGAGGTGCGTGTTCCTGAGTGCAGTTCCCCAGAGAGGCCACAAGAGAGCAGAACTCACAGGCAGTTGTGAGTCTGGTCACCACACTCTGGTCTGGCATGAGGAGTGCCCTCCGGGGGCTGGGGATTCAGCTCCATGGTAGAGTGTTTGCCCAGCAGGCACAAGGCCCTGAGTTGGGTCCTCAGCTCTCCTAAGCTAGCCACCAAGCATCTAGCATGGCTTGACCCTCTGAGAGGTGACTCATATCTCTCTGACTCTGCCCTTCTCTCTGTTTTTCAGTTTGGCTTTATGCCTAGCCTTCTTCTGCCTTGCTATCGGCCAAATTGGCTTTTTTATTAACCAATGCGAGTAAAATGTATTCACAGTCTACAGAAGGATTATCCCACTGCGGCTATTCAAACATAAACGGAGAAAATGCCCGCAGACACAGTCAAGTCACCTCTCCCCAGGTGACTCCAGTTTGTCAGGTGAACCAGGCTAACCAGCACAATGTTTCACATGTGCCTTTTCAAATTAACCTTTGAAAACATAGGCGTTTACCTGTAGATTAAGTAGCAAGTAACATCTTACTCTGTGCCTCAAAAGTCCATCATCTGTTTCCTTGAAGGATCTCCATAATTTTTCTTTTGATGATTTCTGTTTATCTTTGAGACATTATAAGAAGCCTTTCTGTTTCGAGACAGGGCATCAACTCATGACTCTGGCTGACTCAGGCTCACAAATACACACCTGCTTTTGCCTCCCAACTACTAGGATTAAAGGCATACACCACTATGCTTAGCCACAAGTTTTTTAATAAAAGCAAAAATGGGGCTGGCAAGATGGCTCATATAAGGGACTTTATTGGCTTTATTTTTTAAGTACATTTATTTGCACAAATGTGTACATGCGGCCAGTGAGATCAGATGACCACTTGCTGGAGGTGATTCTTTGCTTCCACTAAACGGGTCCCAGAGTTCAACACAGGTCGTCAGGTTTGGCAGGAGTCCCAAAGCCCATGAAAGTTCTTTGGGAAACTGTGTGAAGCTAGTGACAAACTCCTGTGACCCCGACACAGGGGGCAGAGGGCGGGTCTTCCAGGAGTTCAAGGGCCTCTTCCCATAGACAGCTCGGGACCCACACGACACCAACAGGAGCCATGAGACTGTCCTAAAATTCTGAATGAAGGCTCTTTGGGCTCAGTCACTTTGACTTTCCTCACTGGTGTCAGAAAGGAAACAAAAGTCCTCTCCGCAAACCTATCTGCCACCCTCTCTTGCGATTGTGCATGAAGTTCGCAAATAGACACTTGGCATGACACAAAGGTATGTTGGTTTCCATGCAGTTTCAGTTGAACGAATGTCATGTTTCTGTTCTGAATTCCAGCGTGAGTGTATCTCTATCCACGTGGGGCAGGCAGGTGTCCAGATCGGCAATGCCTGCTGGGAACTGTACTGCCTTGAACATGGCATTCAACCTGACGGTCAGATGCCAAGCGACAAAACCATCGGTGGCGGGGACGACTCCTTCAACACATTCTTCAGTGAAACCGGAGCTGGCAAGCATGTGCCCAGAGCAGTGTTTGTGGACCTGGAGCCCACTGTGGTCGGTAGGTGCCTGGGTCAGGGTGGAGGCTTTCCTGGGAGAGCGGGAGCGTCTCAGGAAAACCCGCTGACATCTCTGAGAGTAGACCCGATGTATAAATGTGTGCTTGAGACTGAAAAGGTCATGTGTGGGTGGTTTGTGTGTGCACGGACAATCCTTAGAAGATGTTCTCGACCTACACGCTCAGTGGACTTGAATGTCCCTGCCCTACAGACTCATGGTGTG